CCGTTAACTTGGAATCCCTACTTTCCCATAGTATATAACGGGTTTGTGCGGGCGGAGTCACATATCATCAAGCATCAACCTACTAGATATCTATTCATAATTATTTAACAGCTAATCCAATGACATGTGGGCGAGTCTGTCGTGGTTAGGAGTACTGAACGGAAAAATGCCGTTAGCCAAACAACCTTCCATAAATAGGGGCCTTGCGTATGATTGTGTCGTCAAATAAATTTAATGTTTGAAACGGCGCGGAGAAATATTCCTGTGGGTAGAATGTGCAGTTTTTATTCGTTGATAGTTTTACAACGTACGTCAAGTATTGTTGAAATATATTACAAATTAACACTCTCCAAATAAAATACGTAACAAATTAATACATTTAATGAATCGATCTATTTTTCGACCGACTTCAAAAAGAACGAGGTTCTCAATTGGGTTGTATTTTTCTTTCATATATTTGTTACCTCATAACTCCGGTCAGTTGATATCCGATTTGAAAAATCTTATCTTTATCCGAAAGGATAAAAAAAAGCTTATAGACTCCCAGGAATTATAGAAAAGATTACAGGCCCTATAGTAACTATAAAAATCGGTTTAGTAGTTTAGTTTTTAAATCAAAATAACTGATTTTGACACAAATGTACTTAATTGTAAAAAAGTATTTACACTATTGGACATCAGCAGACTATCTTATCAAGTTTTGGGTTCTTTACATTTTTATTATTTATTTATACTGTACTATACATAGTAATACTATATAGAAAAAATGACAGGTAAGCAAATGTAAAAGGCGAGCTTAACTTTAAAAGAACTCTCTTTCATCAAACCCAAAGTGGAAAGGAACATCATTGTCAGCGAGTAGAGCGATGTACATTATTGTGACAATTTTCAAACAAAAGAACTAGACAAATTTGAGTTCATAAGATCATACAAATTGTTCTCTAATAGAGATTTTAAAATTATTCACAATGTGATAAATGTCAGGCGTGTTTAATGTCAACAAGAATGGAAAGCAACTAGCCAAATGCCGGACAAGGTAAGCTAAGTGGCCTTCAAATCGCGTCTATAATACTATAGGTAATATTTCATGCCACTCATAGTAATTTACATAATAGAAAGAAGATTATAATAATAAACGATTGTACGGGACTATAAGATTAAAAATTAGTGGGCATTTTAAGTCGTTATTACACAAAAGATATAGAATAAATATACGACAGTATGTAAATAAAATATGTAATTAGGTGACGTCTGTACTGAAGAGTTATTTAAGAAAAATTGATGTGAGAGATTTTAATTAAAACAATATAAGTCAAAACAATATTTTTTTTTATATTTGTCAGTTTACCTGCATGTTTGTTATGACATTACGAAATAAACTACAGAAATATTGGATGGACTCCCTCCGTCTGGTCCCGGCATAGAATAGGCCAAATTTTCCGTTCCCATTTCTCAAGACGACTAAGAGAATTTAATGGTCGAGGGATAACAGCAGCGGCCCTCTTAAAAAAATCTCTAAAGCCTGCGGTTGCCAAGCGCAGCATCTACTGGCAAAACTCCCCAATGGGGAGGTTTATGTCCTGCAGTGGACAGTTAACAGCTGATATGATGATGATGATGAAACATTCGGGAGTGGTGGCCTTACAGTAATAAAACTAAATTTAAATATTATCTTAAGAAACAGGTGCATTCTTAATAAAACAAATAATACGGAATAGGATGTGTAACAAACATAATATTTCGCAAATGAGTAACATTTTAAAAATATGATTAATATTTAAAATCCAGTCTTAATTTTTTTAATTTAATTGATTTTTAAATATTAATAAATACTTATAAGGATTTTTTTAATGGATGATAATGGAATGGTAACCCCGCCAGCTCTAACGGTATACGCTGGTGGGGCACCAGTGAGGGATCACAGGTAAGAACAAAAGGCAGTTAGCCTATCGTGATGAATAGAACTGGAATTCAGCACGATGGTTTCCAGTGAGGGACCACGTGGGGGTCGGCCTGACAGGATATATTGCTAGCACTAGGACTGGTAATCCGCATTACTAACAATCCTGATGTATTCATCACGATGGGCTAACTCATCTGCCCTTTCATCTTCACCTATTACCCCTCACTGGTGCCTCGCCAGCGTATACCGTAAACACAGGCGGGGTTACCATTCCATTATCATCCATTGAAAAAGATATCCCGTCAGCGTATACAAATAGTACGGACTATGTAAACCATAACATAGCACTGTGGAACAAGCCTTTTGACGTGTTCCTTTCACCCTAAAAACTTCTTCAAACAGGGAGGAAAGGGATTGTTAGTAATGGAGACTAAGAATCCCATTGCTAGCAATATACCCAACCAGGTCGACCTCCTCGCAGTTCCCCCTGGAAACTATCATGGTTAATTCCTGATGAATTCATCATGATGGGCTAACTGGCCTGTTTTCATTCTCATCTATCACCCTTCACTGGTGCACCGCCAGCGAATCCCGTTAGCGCAGGCGGGGTTACCATACCATTTTCACCCATAAAAAAAAAGAAACTTCTTTAAACATATCGTGAAAAAGCACTTAATAAGTCGGCTTGGCGCGACCAACCGTTGGGAGTAGTAGTAGAGTAGTTCGGTTGATCGCATTCATGGACTATATTAATCCTGTGTTGGAATGATCACGTGCAGTGCTATTATAAAAAAGGAACCCGTATTGAAAATGGATTGATGATTATAAAAACTCTAATTTGTCCCAATGATAAGATTATCAACGCCCTGTCGCATTTAGCTCAATGTCATCCAGTCACCGCATGTGCGCTGCATATTACTGCAGACCGGTTTCCATTGACGTCATACGATGTACGATACATGCACTGTAAAGATCCACTATTCATCATTTATAATGTATGTACCTATTTGAATTAGTCCTTAATTTGCCCGTTTCGACTAGGGATCAGTCCCGGCTTTGTACGGGTATATAGGTAGGAGATCTTAAGTTTTTTTTTTTAATAAAATATCTTGCTTCTCACCGTTAGAATAATTTTTATACTGCATCAAGTATTTTATACATTGCAAAGAAAATAACATCTTTCCTCTTTATAATATTAGTTTAAACAATAGCTAACTACGTGAACTAGCATTTAATTTTCTCGTTGTCCTATTTATATCAGTTTTAAAATGTTAATTGTTTTATTGTTAAGTTTCATAAGTACGCATTATATACGTATTTTTGTTGCAAGCATCATCTTTATTTCAGCCATTATCTGACCAGTACTGAACATAGACATCCAATGTTTTTTTTTTATACAACTTACAATAGCAAACAAGCTGACGGCCCACCTGATGGAAAGTGGTAACCGTCGCCTATAGACATAAGCAGTACCATGGACATAACAGAGTATACTGTTTCGCCCATGATACCCCCCATGCGTTGCCATTATTGTAATAATACTAATAAATAATTTTCACCAGTAAAAAAATGTGGAAGAAATAATTTTGATCAGTAATTTAGCCATCCTTTTTTTAAATTTTAAAACAAATAAAACATGCCTATTGAATACGATGTATTTTACACCTTCACTTTACATTAAAATAATTTTAATTTGGAATCCTGTATTTATAGTTGTAAGTATACAATTTGCTTTGGAATAAGCAGGATATTGCTATATAAAGACTACGGCAGGTTCATTCGTCACATTAATATGGAGCCAACACGGGAGTAAATAAATTTAGGGATTGTTAGTGATGGGGTCTGACTGCCCCATTGCTAGCAATATACCCTATCAGATCGACCTCCACGAAATTCTCCCTGGAAACCATCCTAGTAAATTTTTCATCAATTCGTCATGATGGCCAACTGACCTACTTCATCCTCACTTATCATCACTCACTTGTGCTCCGCCAGTGTATTCCGATAGCGCAGGCAGGATTACCATTTCGTTATCATCCATTAAAAAAATCCATAACATTACCTCAACACGGGAGACCTATTCAACTCGGTGGGTTATGCAAAGCGGATTCTATGATGATTGATTCAAGGTGGTCTTTTTAACCCCCCTGTTCCGTATTAAAATCACCCTGGTTAACTGTTGTAGAACTTGTCAGCATAGGCTAAAGGGCCTGCTTTAATCCTGGCCCATAATTTCTCGCTGGTACCTCGCCATCGTATACTACTCGTAATATCGTAGGCGAGGTATCTATTCCATTTTCACTCAATAAAAAAGAAAACAATAACATTCTTTTGGACAGGAGAGCGTGATTAATTTGTCTTACTAGTTTAGTTTTCAGTTACACATTCAAACAACATTGAAATCAAATTGTTCAGATGTCGTGCCGTCATCCAATGACGATGCTGATGAAACGATCCGCTAATCATCCAGACCAGTTAGTGAATAACGAATGATTGAATAAAACTATTTAACAATATTGATTTGTCTAAACTTGTACGAAGTTGTCTGGAAAAGACTTCGGGATTTACTCGAATTCCGTTATATATATACATTAGTAACTAAATTTTTAAAAGTTTAAAAAATAATTTTGTATAAGGTCATTATTTGTTATGAATTATTTATTATGGTATATCGTAACAAAATTTGGATCCACTAATAATTTTATATTTCGTCGCGTTAAGTTAGTTTGATAGATTTAAAATTTTAAGCACAAACAAGAATTCAAAAATTCACAGGTATAGCCTGAAGTTCGGTCTTGGGACCGCCAGAGTATAGGACCGCAGTCAAATGTTGTTCAACTAACCTTTCAACGTTCTTTGGTAAAAATACTGAATGGCAATAATTCCCACCATAAATGGTCAGAGAAACCTAATATTAATATTGAAGCAGTACCGATAGCGTCCATGTGTAATCCTGAACTGGACTGTAATATGCCGTTTTATCACCTTAGATAAGAAGCCTCTACTCATACTTGACGAACACAACTTGGATGTGTCATATAAGTGGGAATTAATTACATTGTCGATTACTGGTGTTACTGTAGATTGAGTCTGTTAGTCTAGTTTATCGTACATTTTACCTCGCAAGTGCATTCCATCGGAGTGGTGCAGTGTTAAATATTATTGATAATGTCAAAAAAACAAAAAAGAGTTTTATTGGTAAGTGACCATGATAGATTTAAACGAATAGTGATCATTATAATATGCAATTTTAATGTAAGAAATGGCTTTCTCAATATCAAATTTAAGAGCTGCTTATTTCTTTCGTTTAATAATGTTCGATTGACGATGTTGGTTGCAATATTATGTTCTTTTTAATGCATTTTTTTATATATCTACATTTTTACATAATAACTTCGTTGATTCTTTGAATTCGTGTCCGGCAAACATAGCGTTCTGTTATAGGTTCCCTACATCAAAATGTAGTCATAAGTCTTTTAGGATCACTTTGTTCTCCATTTTCTGTTAGTCTCTGTGCATTAAGATCTTTTTTACCAGAATAGCTACAGGTATCTAATTGTACCTAATCTATAACTGCATGTTTGGTACATACTTAGGACTGAATATAGTTTTTGGCTGTAAACTATCTATCTAACTGTAAACAAGTTAAATAGAATAGAATAAATATTTATCGTGAGCTTTACATTACAATTTTTCGTAAGATGTTATTAACGTCTTAAAGGAAAATACAGCCTACCTATACGGGCAACGGTCATACAATACAATTAATTACATAACATTAATTATTTTACAATCATACTATATTATTTTATAATCGCCAATAAAAATGAAAATAAAATAAAGCACGTCAATCAACAGTCACAAACTAACTCATGGTCACCATTAGAATATACTAATGATCATCTTATATATTATATTAATTAAATTATTTATAATGTCAATATAAAAAAAAAATGTCAAAGAGCAAATAATTCTTTACCTATATAAAGGTAAATATTTAATCTTTACCTCTATAAAAATTCCATTCCGATGTTCTTTCATGCTAATCTCCGTAACCACTAAACAGATTTTAATTATATATTTTAATATAAGATAGGATAGTTTTATCCTAATCGGTAGTAATTAACCCGGTAGGCATTGGTGGGGAGTTAAACATTTGTTGGGTCAGCTAGTCTTAAACTTTTGTACATTAAATATTAAGAGTAATGAGTTACATTCAAATTGAATTCTGTTATCCATTTGTTATTTATACATACATTTATTTACCATCTACTCTTATACAAAGACGTTGATTTGTAGATAATGATACATTTCGTTATTTCTCAAAAGCCGTGAACTTTTGACATTTTTTTTTACAGTAAAAACGTATTTTATCTATGCTCAGAGTTATCTTTATAGGATTTATATGTTGTATTTACGTATGTTGCCTTCACTCGTGTATTAAAATTTGAATATGCCCGACTAGTTTCAAACTCAATATGAGCCCTTCCTTATGAACGCGACCAGCGGTTTTCATGTTGTTTATATTCTAGTTTCTTACAAATTTTGATGCCAAAACCATAGAATAATTAATGTCAAACTTGAATCCTGTAAGCTCCATCTCTTTTATAATGTATTTATAGACAAGACACTTAACCAAACGTTACAAATGGGAGTTCAATTTCTTCCGATAACTAGGAACATATACGAAGAACCAAAGCGAGAAAGAGTATTATTACTTGATTAAGGTGATTAGAATTTGTTTTTTTACTGTTAGTTGCTATAATGCCACGAATTACTTTTCTTTCTCCTTTTTTTGTCCAACCAAGAGTATAGACTTTATGCCAAATTTCATTCAGTTTATACGGTTTTACAATACGTGATTGGAAGATCTAAACTGGTCTTCATGATCTCACATTTAATCATGTAATCATCCTGCCAATAATAAATTATTTAATACACTTTACGCGCCATACAGTTTTAACTTTCCATATTCACAATTTCCGTTTTCCAACAGGAAAAATGGGTCGTTTCTGTGTTACCATTTTGCGAATATTGACTGTCCGTAATTGAACAGGAACTATGTAATTAGGTGGCACGGTTGTCTCTAGTGATATATCGAGTTGGAATTTTTGTATTCGAGTATTTTAGTTCCGGTTTAAAAAAAGAAGCGATTCCTATTTCGAGTCTGAGAATTCAGACAAGTACTCGTATGTGATTTCGAGTACTTTATTAGACTTGAGTAATCGTTCAATTGATTTTAATATAAAATTAATTGACCTTCAGAAATTAATACTAAAGATTCAGTAATAGTAGTAATTTAATAATTTTTAATTTGATAAGGAAATAATGTTGAAATAGAAACAAAATTTACAATAAATACAAAACTTGTATTCGAGTATCCTAGGCACTCAAAACATATAATCGAATATAATATATACGAATTCCGTATATTGAGTGTATCTAAGTATAGACACTTTAAGCATTTGAGTAAGTACATTAGTCAGTTTACCTCCACCAGAGGGAGACTGTACAAAAGTCGATTGCCTTGGTACCTCTGTTCCATTCGTGTTTCTACCGTGAAGTAGTTGGGTTTGCATGGCTGTGTTTCGGTTTGAAGGGTGGAATATGGCGTGAATTTACTGGGTACAAAGGAATAACACCTGAGTCCTCAGGAATGGCAACGCATGGGGGGTATCATGGGCGAAACAGTATACTCTGTTATGTCCATGGTACTGCTCATGTCTATAGGCGACGGTTACCACTTTTCATCAGGTGGGCCGTCAGCTTGTTTGCCATTATAAGTTGTATAAAAAAAAAGAAAAGCCTCGGTACATCACTAGTTGTGACCGCCGGTGCTGTGTCGAATTAGTTGAACGACCGCCCGTCCCGATTGATGGTGTCAAATTATCAGCAACCGCAAACGTATTAATTAGGCGCATCGTATTACGCGACATCACTATGACCGATTATGAATGAATTGTAATAAGTCACAGCGGTTTTTTTTATTGTTGGATTATCTGCGTTTAAAATATTTTAATTTGGAACATCTTATCAACTAGTTTTACTACGTAATAACCAGGGATTTGGTCCCGAAATAAAAAGCACCTTTTGTTACAAATTTTATGTGGGGACTGTCTTGGAAATTTTGTTAGATTTCAATACAAATTATTACAATATTTTCAAATGAAATAAAAATTCAAATTTGGAATTATGTGTCTATAACTCGTCATTAATAAGAGGAAAGTGATTGTTAGTAATTGGGTTTGACAGCTCCATTGCTAGCAATATACCCTGTCAAATCGACCTCCACGTGGTTCCTACTGGAAACCATCTTGGTAAGCTCTAGTCGTTCGTCAGGATGGGCTAACTGACCTACTTTCATTCTCATCATTATCCATGTCATACTCACTGGTACTCCGCCAGTGTATATCGATAGCGCAAGCAGAGTTATCATACCATTGTCACCCATTAAAAAAGTCGCATTAATTATGTTAACTATTTTTTTTTTTCTCATTTATGTACACAGATGATTTTTCTTATAATTTACACATTATAATGGTCTTTCACTGATGCCCCGCCAGTGTATACCTATAGCGCAGGCGGGGTTATAATTCTATTATCACCCATAAAAAAAAAACTCGTCATTCATGTGTGTGTGTTCACGATCGAAGTAGGTAACACTTTTTCACATCAAAATGTATTCGTGTCTTCAATACTTTTCTGTAATTGTTTAATTTTGCACAATTAAAGCCGGCGTACTATTTGTCTACAGTGAGTCATACGTTTTATTTGTACTCCTTGTGTTTTGTATTCGTGTATATAAGTGCCTTTGGACACAGACATTGACCTTCTCTTGAAATAGCATTCACTACTAGTTTGTATTTGATAATACCCGTGTTGAATTGATGTTGCGAAATCAATAGACTGTTGTTTCAATGAGACCATAGTTTGAAACAGATATGTTGAATGATCTAATACATATATTATGTTCCATTTCAGGGTCCTTTATTTTGTACCAGAACTCTAAATACGTATTTATAATTTAACTGTATGCCACGGATTTGCCTACGTGAAGCAATATATAAAGTACATATCTTATACGTATGTTAAGTTAAAGTATAATCTATCCGTATACCAATATTCATTCAAATCCGTTCAGTACTTTTTTCTAATTTAGATTTACTATTGGATGGAGAAGTCGCCACTGTTGTATCAATTTTACTTTTTTTTTTTTATACCACTGAGGTGGCAAACAAGCATAGAACCCACCTGATAGTAAGCGATTACCGTAGCCTACGAACGCCTGAGATAAGCAGGGGTATTACGCGCGCGTTGCCGATCCTGAAGATATCTCTTTACTCCTCTTTTGAAGAACCGAATGCTGTAGTCTCTTGAGAAAACCTCGGCAGGGAGCTCATTCCATAATCTGAGTGTTCGTGGAAGAAAATTTCACTTTTCACTTAATTTTTGAACGGTTCCTAATTAATGCAAGCACGACTAAAGTGTAGTGATAATAAAACACATTTAGGTAGGGGTCGTCGATACATTTCTTTCTACGTAATTAAAAAAAAAACTATTCATGGCATGCAGATAAATATAGCTTTTAAGTACCTTTATTTACGTTAAAGGCAATGGAATGTGTACTTAAAAAAATAGAACATTTGATTACGAATCGTAAAAACTACATCGTAATTCAAAATTCGAACGCAGTTATTATGTTAATAATGACAGCTGTGCAATACGAGTATTGAGAAAAAATATACATCCCAATTCCATACCGTACCTTGCATACTATATTTGGTCGGATTGTAAACAATTTCCTCATGGTGACTTCCTCTCTTCCGCGGGAGTACAATGACCCGAATGATGTATTGGCAATGAACGGATGAGCACAGATAAGTAACGGGGTTGCTGTATCTGTGTCCAGCAGATGAGCGTATTGCGTGTGGAAATGGATGTATTCGTATGTACCTTGACAAATTTTGGCATTTGAAAAAATATTGGTCCCAGTGTTGCTATCGTTTTAATTTCTTTACGATCAATCAATCAATCAATCATCTTTATTCATATACATCTGTTACAGATACTTATGATACGTCAATCTATAATTATAATAATTACTATATAAAATAATATTGATTTAAGAAAAAATACAATAATTACATTTACAATACAATTCACATTAATACAAAATTTAAATCCATGCAGTTTTGTCA